TGCAATTTGCCCAAGCGCCGCGCTCCCGACACCCAGGCACCCAGGAGTCGCGCCCGTTGTGGCCCCATGTGCATGCCCTTCGTGGCCCTGCTGTGTCCCCCTCACTGTCCTACGTGGCCCAGTTGCTACCCTCAATGGCCCCATAGTTGCCTTCTGTGGCCCCGCATTATATGCACTTCGTGGCCCCCGCTCGTTCGCGCTTTTCGTGGCCCCGTACGCATTCCGTTCGTGGCCCTGCTGTCGTTCTCTCTCGCTCTCGCTTTCGCTCGTCGTCGCCGTCGTCGTCGTCGTCGCCGTCGTCTTCGACGTCGTCGTCGTCGTCGTCGTCGTCGTCGTCGTCGTGGTCGGTACCGTGTCCGTCCCTCTTGGGGTCGGGTCGACGGTCCGCGGCCGCCCCGCCGATCAGCGCTGCCGCTGGCCAGGCCGACGGTCCGCGGCCGCCCCGCCGCTTGCCGGGGCCCGGCCTGCAGGGAAGAAAGGTATACCCCCCTAACAGGGGTTCGATCGAAGACGAAGAGGGCGGGTATCGAGGGTTTGGAAAATACGCGTTATTGGACACTCGAGCATATAAGGGCGAACGGTCTTAAAAATATTATTGTTGTTGTTGTTGTTGTTGTTGTTGTTATTGTTGAATTCTCAGTAATGAAGAAAAGTTATGGGTGACCCCCCCTCCGGTAACCTTACTATTTTCCAATTTAAATGCTTCTCGCGGGGCTCGAACCCGCCTTTTTACACGGGAAAACGAAGGGCCCCCAAAATGCTAGTTGGTCCCCGAACTACAGCTACAACAATAATTTCAAGACTGTTCGCCCTTATATGCTCGAGTGTCCAATAACGCGTATTTCCCAAACCCACGATACCCGCCCTCTTCGTCTTCGATCGAACCCCTGTTAGGGGGGTATACCTTTCTTCCCTGCAGGCCGGGCCCTGGCAAGCGGCGGGGCGGCCGCGGACCGTCGGCCTGGCCAGCGGCAGCGCTGATCGGCGGGGCGGCCGCGGACTGTCGACCCGATCGCAAGAGGGACGGACACGGGACCGACCACGACGACGACGACGACGACGACGTCGACGACGACGGCGACGACGACGACGGCGACGACGAGCGAAAGCGAGAGAGAACGACAGCAGGGCCACGAAGGGGGGCACGAAGTAGGCCACGAAGGGCGACAGCGGGGACACGAAGAGAATGCGTATGGGGCCACGAAAAGCGCGAACGAGCGGGGGCCACGAAGTGCATATAATGCGGGGCCACAGAAGGCAACTATGGGGCCACTGAGGGTAGCAACTGGGCCACGTAGGACAGTGAGGGGGACACAAATGGCGGCAGCGGGGCCACGAAGGGCATGCACAAAAGGCCACAACGGGCGCCACTCCTGGGTGCCCGGGTGTCGGGAGCGCGGCGCTTTGGCAAATTGCAGGAAATTCCAACGCAAGGCCGTTCTTCAGTAAGTTGCAAGCAAGTGTTCATCGAGAGCGCGACTCCAGAGCGCCAAGGGAGCGATTCCTGAATAAATTGTAAGGAAGTCCCAAGCGAGAGCGCGATTCCTGAATAAAATGCGAGGAATTCTCGGACGGGGGCGGTGGTCCTGGCTAAATCGTAAGGGAGTCTCAGGCGGGGGCCGTTGTTGTTGTAACCCGGGGGCCAGGGGCCCAGTTTGAGCAGGAAGATTTTCCCTGTCAAAAAACAGGGTGCGAGCGTCGAGGGGCACACTTTGATTGAGAAAAACAGTGTGCACGGGGATCAACAATAATTGTTCTTCATAAATGAGAATTCAATGGCTCCCGCCTGGTACCTCCTCACAATTTATTCCCAAACCGCGCTCTCGCGCGGGACGTCCGCACAAATTATATAAGAATCGCGCTCTCGCATGGGACTTCCTCGCCGTTCGGACTCTCTCGCTGTGGATTTCTTCGCGATTCATTTGGGAAACGCGCTGTGGCTCGAGACTTCCTCGCGATTCGTGCAGGACGCACGCGGCACGATCGACGACGAAAAGGGCGGGTATCGAGGCTTTGGGGCCATCGTGTTGAATGGCACGCGAGCAGATAACAAAAAACGAACAATCTTAAAGTGATTGTTGTTGTTGTTGCTGTTGTTGCTGAACTCTAATTTCTGAAGAATAATTATTGTTGATCCCCCCCCCACCGGTGCATACTGTTTTTCTCAATCAAAGTGTGCCCCTCGACGCTCGCATCCTGTCTTTTGACAGGGGAAGTCTTGGTGCTCAAACTGTGCCCCTGGCCCCGGGGATTACAACAACAACGGCTCCCGCCTGAGACCTCCTCCAGATTTACTCAGGACCCCCGCTCCTGAAACTTCCTCACAATGTGCTCAGGATCGGTGCTCCCGCCTGTGACTTCCTCGCAATTTAGTCAGGACCCCCGCTCCCATCTGAGAGTTCCTCCCAATTTACTCAAGAAAAGCGCTCCCGCTTGAGACGTCCTCGCAATTGAATCAAGACTCCCGCGCATTTTAATGAAGGCCCCCGCTCCCGCCAGAGAGCCCTTTACATTTTATGCAGGAATTGCGTTGTCGCCTGCGACCTCCATGCAATTTATTCAGACATCGCGTTTTCGACGCTCAGGAAACACGCTGCGCCAAGCACGCCACTACAATTTACTTAGTAATCGCGCTCTCGCCATACTCAGGCATCCGGTCCCGCCCGACCGACCCGCTCGTCAGGGGATCGCCCGCCCGTCGTGGGCTCCCGCTCGAGACTTCCTTCAGCAACGGCGCTTTCTCCTAGGATTCCCTCGAACGTTCACGCTCTTACCTTCCTGCTCCTCCTCCCTCTCCCTCCTCCCTCCTCCCTCCTCTCCTCCCTTCTCTCTCCCTCCTCTTTTCCCTCTCCTTATGCCTCTGTGCCCTATCCCCTCTCCCTCCTCTCCCTTCTCCCTTCTCCCTCCCCTCTCCTGCCTCCTCCCTCCCTCCTTATTTTTTTTTTCTCTCTCTCTCTCTCTCTCTTTCCCCTCTCTCTCTTTCTCGCTCTTTCTCTACATCTCTTATCTGTCTTATATATATATATCTCTCTCTCTCTGCCTCTCACCAACCGCCCCCCTCTTCGCTCCTTCTCTCCTGGCGTTCCCCTCTTCCTTCGTCCTTCCCCCTCCCTTCCTCCCACTCTCCCTCGTTCTCCCCCTCCTCTTTTTGCAGGGCCCACACCAATTCCAATGGCGGGCACATGTGCGCCCACGAAGGACTGTCCACCCGTTCATGTTTGCCCGCCTGTCTAAGCCTGCCGCCCCCCGCAAAGAGAAAGAATTCCCCCAAGGGGTGTGATCGAAGACAAAAAGGGCGGGTATCGAGGGTGTGGGAAACTCGTTTTGAATGACACACGGGCAAGCAAGAGCGAACCGCCTTAGAATTATTGTGGTTGTTGTTGTTGTTGCTGCTGTTGTTGTTGTTGTTGTTGTTGTTGTTGTTGTTCTTGTTGTTGCCGTTGAATTCTCACTTCTCAAGAACAAGTATTGTTGATCCTCCTTCCGGTAACCATTGTATTTCTTCAATTCAAATGCTTCTCTTGGGGCTCGCGCTTTGCTTTTTACACGGGGAAATGAAATATCACCAAACTGGGTCGTTGGCCTCCGGTTTACAACAACAGCGGCTCCTGCCTTATACTTCCTCACAATGTATTCTCAAGTCGCGCTCTCTCGCCAAGAGATCCCCAAGAGGCTCCCAAGAAAACCCAAAGAGGACCGTCGAGGCTCCCTCGAGGCACCCAAGACGTTCCAAAGGCCCCCAGGACCGCCAAGAGACCCCCAAGACGCTCCAAGAGGACTCACAGAAGCTTTCAAGAGACATCCGAAAAGACTCCGAGAGAATCCTAGATGCCTCTGGCCGTTCTGCTCGCCCTCTTCCTCCAACTCCTCCTCCTCCTCCTCCTCCTCCGCCTGCTCCTCCTTCCTCCTCCCTTTTCCCCTCCCCCTTTCTCTTCTCCTCCTCCTCCTCCTCCTCCTCCTCCTCCTCCTCCTCCATCTTTCCCCTCTTGGGGTATGACGGTTTCCCCAGCCTGTTATTCCATCGCATGCTCCTCCACATCTCTGACCAGGGCAACTCCCATGTGCATCGCTTCTGTATGGGTTGGTGGGGTTACGCAAGGCGCCGGAATCTGGGAATCTAAAAACACCTAAGTTCACTGGCCAACGGGTACCCTACGAAAGTTGCTCATCCTCATGATCCTGTTCGACTGTGCTGCTTCTCCCGCCGCGCCCCTGCTCACGTGCCGCCTCGCCTCCCTTTCCGCTTGCCCCCCTCCTCCTCGACCCCCGTGCGTCCCCGCAGGCCTATGTTGCACGGTCGGCAGAGCCGCTTCGCAGGGCCTCCCTCAACTATCCGAGGATGCTGTGCCCTGTCGGAGTAGGGCGGGCCGTGACAACCAGCTTGCCACCGCATTCCTCACGCTTCTTTGCGCACTTCACGCTCTGTCGCATCGGCGAGGGACTCCGGGCGCCCTGGCCAGACGTCTCAGATGTCTTTCGGGGGGCATCAGCAACAATGTTACGCAATCTCGACCATGCGCGTCGATGCACCAACATGCTGTAGACGCAAAACCAGGCTTGACAAACTTCACTGCTGCATGACTTCCTGGCACGAGGCGTTACATACGGCCTTGCAGACCGTGTGCGATATTTCTTCTTGCTACTTCCTGCAATCAGGTAAAACATTGTGAACATGCACCAAGAGTAGTGGCCAACAATTCGTCGAACCGAATCCTACCATGCATTTCACAGATGATACTCGTCGTGCGGGGAATGCATGGACGATTGATTTACACAAAATTCCTCACGCGTGCTCTTGCCTCGGCCCAAAGCAAGCGACAGACAATGCAATCACGCAGTCCTTGACCGCGCAGCATTCTCTCCACTCAAGAACTCCAACATATGAGAGCTGTAAAACCGCCGCGGTCATCCCACTCCCTTCCTGCTCGCCCCATTATCATTATCCTCCTTGTACCAGCCGTGTCACCCTCGTCTGCCGTGTGAAACTCGCAATTCTGCGCCCTGTCCTGGCGAAGAATCCTGGGGGTCATGTCGCGAATCTTCTGCGGCATGGTGGCGCTGAAGAGCAGCGTTTGCCGCCCGTGGTTCGGCTGCGCGGCCACAGGGGTGGCTCGGGAACAAGGGGGGGCAGGAGACGCAAGGATGTGCCTCCGACGTTTGACCATCATCACTACCTGGCATGACGACATGCCGACTTGTAAGGCGCCCCCTGCTTTCTTGAACCACTCTCCTCCTCCCAAACTTTGTGCCAACCCCCTCGTCGGCCAGGGCGTGCCTGCCGAAGGCGAATGCCGGCGAGCTCGGTCGCTCCTTCGTTAGAACCGTTGACCACCGCAGACGCGGGTAAGGGCGAGGCGCTGCTCCGCATCCGAGGGTGTGAGGCAGAAGCGCAAGCCGGCTGCCGGCGAATATTCTGCTTCTTCCGACGCATGAAGGACACGTGGTGAATGTCTCCACCAGCGCCCTGGCCTCACTCCTGCCCCCCAGTCCTGGAGCCCCACCCCCGACCCCTAGCGACTCTGACCTTCTCCTGGACTGGGTCCGGCGAGCCCCTTCTCTTTCCACTGCACTCGTTTCCCTCTCGTCCAGGCTCTCAATTCATGGTACGTGGTACAAGAACAGTCAACCAAACGCCCCGCTCCTTGTCGAATCCGTCTGGGGCCTGCCCCCGTTTCCGCCTCTTTGCTGAGAGTACCACCCTGCCCTCTTCAAAGAAGACTTACCGAACCATCTCCTCCGAGCTGCATCTTTCAACGAGCCAATGGTTTACCTTATCTTGATGGGCGCGGGGGTATTTCTGATTACGCTGCCACCTTTTGTGCTGAGCTCCCCCCCTGCCGCACCATTCTGGACTCTCCAGGTGCTCCGTTGTCATTTTCGGGTGCGTCGAAGCGGGGGGCTTGAAAGATGGGGATCTCTGCGCGTCATGACCCGACGCATGCGCGCGAACGAATGGGGGTCGGAGGATGCATTGAAAGAGTAAGCATAAGACGACATATAAACAGCATACGAGCAATACTAAGCATAAGATGAATGATAGTAATAATGCTATACTGCGCATTATACTAATACCAGCAATGATGTGATTTCGAACACTCATACGAATCACGCCGATAATTGTCATACTACTAGGACGTAATCAACTACATTGTATTTACTCGGCGTACTGTTCTCGTGAGCCTCACGAGATTGCTCTTCTACGATGCTCTGCAATCTCTGTTATGAAACCTCTCTCTCTCTCTCAAAAACCCGAGAGAGAGAGGCAGAAAGAGAGAGAGAGAGAGAGAGACAGAGAGAGAGGGAGACAGAGAGAGAGAGAGAGAGGGAGACAGAGAGAGAGAGAGAGAGATAGAGACAGAGGGAGAGAGAGAGAGAGAGAGATAGAGAACGAGAACTATATACTAAGGCTGAAGACAAGACGTCTGGGAGCGATCGTCGCCCTGGCCAACACTTCACACCCCCTGGTCCATCCCCTGGTCCGCACCTCCAAAACATGCGACGCCTTGATGGTTTTCATTACGCGATGCCTGGAAATCTTGACCCTTTCCCCGGGGCCGGCTTTTCATGCTGAATTGTTTTTGACGGTCTCAGGGCCTGGTAAAAGGGCCTCAGAGGCCGAAATCGGCCAAAGACCCCAGGTCCGGATTTTTCACGATGCAAGCATATCTAAGCTCCCTTCTAGCCGCCTCGGGGATTCTGGGCGTCTGCGACGTCGTGCTCGGATCTGGGACAGCCCTCCGATCCTGGAGGGGGAGGAGGGGGAGGAGGAGGAGGAGGAGGAGGAGGAGGAGGAGGAGGAGGAGGAGGAGGGGGAGGACGAAAGGAGGAGGAGGAGGAGGAAGAAGAGGAGGAGGACGAGGAGGAGGAGGGAGGATAATGAGGAAGGAAGAACAAGAAACAGGAGGGGGAGAAGAAGGTGGAACGAGGCACCGCGAGAGAGAGAGAGAAAGAGAGAGAGAGAGCTCCCAGGATCCCTCCACCCTCGCCCTTCCCCGCGAGGGGCATGGGCAGCGCCGGCAGGGCGCGTGGGCGCCTGGGGGAGGTCGCGGCCGTAGAACACCTCCTCGACCTGGAGTGTGCAGGCGATGGGCCGTGGGTAGGGGAACACACACTGATATAAGCATCACAACTCAGAGGTCCGCGCGGATTCCTCGGATCGGTGCTGGGGCCCCTCTTGCTGCGCCTCCGGCACAGCCCCCGGCTGGGGAGGGGGGTCGAGCGCCGATCCGAGAAATCCGCGCGGACCTCCGAGTTACTTGTTCATGGTAGGTTCGTGCGGCGTCAGCGCGCGCAAAGGTTTTTGACACCGCGTCGATCGTTCAATCTTAAATCGATTGCGACCCCGATCGTTCAAGGTTGAGTTCTGCCGGGTCCAAGGGTGTTGCCGCGTCCCTCGGTGCATCCGCGTCAGACTCCAACCTTGAGCGCCTTCGCTGGCGTCGCCGGCGCGCCAATGCCGCATGCATCTAACGTATGTCATTGTGTGTTTCCCTAATGGTGCAGGGGGGATTCTTCCTTGCGCGCGAACCACTTACATGAGGCCGAGGCCTTCACCCTCGAGCACCAGATACAACCGCGGCCAATGCTGCGCCGCAGCGTGAAACAGAAGAACGGATGTGGGCGGACTGTGCGCTAGACTCCGCGTGCTGCTCCGGAGGGATCTGGAGGAGGGCGGACGGCGGCAAATGGAGCCAATCGCTCTATAATTCCGACGAGGGCAACGTATCATGCAGGCCTCCCTGGGTAGCGCCTCGGCGAACGCTGCCACAGTGCGGCCTTGCCGAGGTGAGCGCGTCCTGAGCACAACGTGACGTCGTTCCAACGATATCTTTACGCGCCACTGCGAACACCGAGGTGGCCCCGCAGCCCCTCGTGTTGTGCTCTTTTTCCATAGTAGTGTTTTGCTCCAGGGTTCTAAAAAGAAGCAAGCGAACAGAGTCTCTCCCAGGGGGGCCTGGCGACTTCCCTGGATGCTTTCCTAGACTCTGCCGTCACTTTCCTGTATAAAGTCGGATGCCTCTGGAGCGTTTGTGAATGGATTGTACGGTTTTCTCGAGGGGTAGCCTCGTTATTGAGTGATACTAAAGAAATTTCGAGCAATAGCCTCGTTGTTTCTGAGTCAATCGCAAGACCGTTTCAGAACCCTCTCAGGAGCCTTTCAGGACCTCCTTGGGAGCCTCTCAGGACCCTCTCAGGATCTCCTCGGAAACCTGGCAGGCCTTCCTCGGAATCCTCGCAGAACCCCCCCAACAGCTTGTTCAGCCTCTCAGGAACCCCTCGGCATCCTCGGCATCCTGCTACGAGGGTGCTTTGCTAGGGTCACTGCAAGACTAGCGCTAGGTCGGGCATGTCCTCCTACAGGCGGGCCTTGGAAGAAACATAGAAATGGTCAACAAACCAATAAAAAACTAGAACCACGCGCGCGCTTTGCGCGCGCTTAGGTTCTAGCAAGCCTCAGGCCGTGACATATTCACATATCCTCTGAAATAGTTACCTACATATTGCATGGCCATGAGGCACACCGAAGCGTCAAACAACTTGGGCCGAACAAAGATCGATCACAAACAACGGCACATCCGTACAAGGCAATGCGAACCAATGACCAGCAGTGAAGAGAATGTTCAGAATGGAGTGCCCACACTGGCACTGCAATTCAACGCAATGCCATGGAAATCAGATGCGAGCGCCATGCAGCGAGAAGCATAGCAAACGAAAGCCACGGCAATGCGATGCAATACAACGAAATGCAAAACAAAACAATGCTCGTTAACGCAATGCCGTTTGCGGAACCATGCCTGTGCACATTCGTCGGCAAACAACCAAATGAAAGACAATGCAATCCAATGCACAATAACGCAAGAGACCGTACGAACCCGAGGTTCCGGAACCTCAGGTATCCCAGGGATAAGGTGTGCAAACTAAGTGGTACATGCCCCGATTCCGCCGTTGGTAAACATCCATATGACGCTAGTGCACCAGCTCGTCCTTCTCCTCGCCCACCTCCTCCTCCTCCTCCTCCTCCTCCTCCTCCTCCCTCTCGCAGTCTATCTTCTGGCCGGTCGGCTTGCCCCGGCCAGCGACCGTTTAGATTGCCGCACAGACTTACGGGGAAAAAAAATAAATAATTTCCCCCCCCCCCCCCCCCACAGGCTGCCGTGCGATAACTGTCACAGGTAGTCCATCGGCCACGCGGCCGGGATAAGCTACATGTTTTCTAAGTTGGCCACGAGAAGACGGGTGAGAAGCAGCGTAGTGGGACTGCGAAAGAGATCGTCAGTTGCAAATTCCCGGGCATTTTTTGCAAGCGCCTAGGAAGGCTCCAGGAAGGCGCGCAGGGCAGCCACGAGGAGGACCTAGGGCATCCTAATGGGGGGATGCCCGAGAAGCCCTGAAAGAGTTTTGCAAAACCATGCTGGGAGTCTCTTTGGATGCCTTTTGGGGGCGCTCTTGGAAGGCTATTTGAAAAGTTGTCTGGTCTCTTGGAAGGCATCTCAGAGGTCTCTTGTCATATTTGGAGCCTCTATGGGAGCCTCTTGATGCTTCTGGGGGGGGGGGTTGTGGGGCCCCTCGGGCGCTCCTGGGGCCTCTTGGAAGCCTGTTGGGCCCCTGCTAGCGGTCTCGGGGGCCGTCTTCGGGGGGCGGGCTCGCTCTGTGAGTTCGGGTTCCGCCTCTTGTGCCCTTCTTGGAGCTCTCCTGGAACGCTCTTGGGCTGCATTAGGGGCGTTCTGGGCCGTCTTGAGGCCCTGTCGGGGATCTCTTGGGCCGTCGTGAAAGGTTTTTGGGGGCTCTTGGGCCGTCCTAGAGAATTGCAATCACGAGAGAGCAAGAACACGAACCTCGTTGAAACATTGACTGGCAATCAATACATATTTAGATCTAGATCTGTTGCCTCTTTGTGACTTCAACCCATGCCGCCACCGTTCCTGGGTTGTGGGTTAACCCTAGGCCTCTTGAAGTTCCTTGGGATATCGTGCAAGGCCTCTCGTGGCCTTTTAGAAACAGTTTTGAACCCTCAAGGGGACGTTTTGGAGCCTCTTGGGGCCTCTTTCTGGGTCCCTCTTTTGGGCCTCTTGGAGCCTCCTGGGGGCCTCTTGGGGCGGAAGGCTTGAATTATCAGTTCGCGTTCCCCCTTTTGGGCACCTTTTGAGGCCGTCCTGATGCCCTCTTGGGCCAACTTGGGCGCCTCTTGGGCCGTTTGGGGGCCCTCTTGGGCCGTCTTGGGGACATCTTGGGCGCTCTGGGAGATGGGGCGAGGTCTTGGAGTGTCGAAAACCCAAAAACGCGAGGACACGAAAAACATTGAAAAACAAACTGAATATCAATGATTTTGGCCTCCATGGGGCCCTCTTGGAGGTCCTCTCGGAGCGCTCTTGGAGCCTCTTGGGGCCATCATGGGGCCATCTTGGGCGGCTTGGTGCGCTCTTGGGCCGTCCTGGCGGCTTCTGGGCGTCCGCTGTGGGACGCTCAGAAGGTTCCTTGAGGCGTAGGGAACACCCTGGAGCGTTCAAAAAGACCCGCCGGCGCCGGGGACTAAAGTGGGTTGCGGGGGGGAAGGGGGAGCTTTGAAAAAGCGGGGGCCCCAGGGCCTGGGGTCCCAGCCGCAGGTTCTATACATATATATATATATATATATATATATATATATGTATGTATGTATAGAATGTTTTTTTTTGTTTTGTTTATCTCTCTCTATATATATATACATACATAATTAAACGAGCACCAAACATCGTGCCTACACTATTTGTTTATTAGAGGGGCATACGTGACACAAGACCAGCGCTCTGACGAGGGCCCGGCCAGAGCCGCGGTGGGGCAGCAGCCGGCGGCGCTGCGCTGCGCCCCGGCATCGCAGCGGTGCCTCCCAGACTGCCCCCGAGGCAGAGGCAGCTCTGCCGAGCCTGCTTGCAGACCTCAGCAGAGCCGCCCTGCAATCACACTGAAATGAGAAACAACATCACGTACAATGGAAGCCCGTGTCACGAAACACCCTGCTTGCCTCCAGGGTGCCCTGGGTTTCTTGGGTCTCGATGGTTTTGTTGTGGAAAGCGTGACGTCCCCATACAGCAAATCGATAGACTTCCTGGGGTCTCAGGGTTGGGTTTCTTGTGGAAGGTTTCTCGTGGTCGAGCTCATACTGTAAGCATGAACGTTTGGAGTTACCCGTGGACTTCTTGGATTGGTGCTGGGCTCCCCCGTCGGCGCCTCTGGCGCCGCGGCTGGCGCGCTCCGCGCGCTTGAGAGGGTGGCCCGGCGCAGATCCAAACCACCCGCGCGGGCCTCCAAAACTTTATGTTCAGGTGGCTTATCATTCCTCCGAACATCAGTAGAGCTTAGAGCCATCCTGCAGGACGTGCACCGCTGCACTGACACGGTGGCGAGACTTGCCGCAGGAAACTGGATACTAAGCGAGGGGGCGATGGGTTGGAGTAGCCAGAGCAAAACCAGGAAACGGCAGGGGGAGCAGGATCATGAAACCGATGAGGGGAGATGGAGGAACAGGAAGGGAAACAAGTGCCGCCGCTTCGCTGGGCACCCCGCCGACAACCCAAACCAAACAGGCTGCCGTGTGGCTCGTTCCTGAAAACACTGAATACCCCAACGACGCTGTCATCTCTTGGAAACATTATGTTGTCACTTCCGCCGGCTTCCGCCAACGGGTTGACACATCTTCTACTTGCAACAGCCTTCCGCCGGAAACAAATGCCAATCTCTCGATCTCTCGAAGGTGGGGCGCCACCCTAACCCGACAAGGGACAAAGAACAGCTGGCCTGGCTCTGTGACGAAGGCGAAGGCTCGAATAGTACGTATGCACGCCCACATGGAAACTATTTGTGCAATAATCAACGTGACCGGCACGGCGTGAGTTCTGGAACAGAAGGTGTCCGATAGGTTCGTGCGGTGTCGGCGCGCGCAAAGGTTTTTGCCACCGCGTCGATCGTCCAACCTCGAATCGATCACGGTCCCGATCGCTCAAAATTGAATTCAGTCGGGTCCAATGGCGTTGCCATGTCCATTGGTGCTTCCGCGTCGCAGAACTCCACCTTGAACGCCTTCGCCGGCAGAGCCGGCGCACCAACGCCGCACGAACCTACCGTGCACGATCTCTCTGGAGATGGCATTGGTGCTTGGGAAGAGGACGGCCAGGAGCGAGCGGCGAAGCGGTGGCGGCGGCAGCAGGGCCACCGCGCGCCGCGTCGGCCTGCTGCTCCAGCCCCAGGGAGAGCATCTGATCGGCCTCGTCGAGCACGCAACACTGCACGAACGACAACGACAGCTTGTTGATGTCTATGAGGTCGCACAAGCGACTGCCCGCCACGGAGGAGGCGCACCCTCCTCTTCCGACCCCCTTCCTCATTGTTGGTTCCCTGCCCTCCTCCTTCTCCTTCGCCTCCTACATCCTCTGCTCCCTCCCCCGCCCGCACTCCTTCTCCTCCTCGCCTTCCCTTGGCTCATCCTCCTTGTCTTCCTCCTCGTCCTCCGAGATCTCCTCCTTCTGCTCGCATTTCTCATTCTCCCTTTCCTTTTCCTCGACCTCCTCCTCCTCCTCCTCGTTCGTTCCGTGCGGCTTGGAACGTGCCCGTCTGCGGGGAAGATCATGCACCGGAATGGGGGGACAGGTGAGGGGCAGTACACGAAATGGAGGCGTCCCTCCTCTGGAGGCGCCGCGGCCAGCTTCACTCGAAGGAGGAAGAGGAGTGGAGGGGGGACTTGTGGCTCAAGCCAGCTTCGTATGCCTTCCTGGTCAAAGGCCCAACCAACCGACAGGCAGGGGCGTCCGCGTGTTCCGGTCTCTGGCCCTTCCTTGCACGGCCCCTGGCGGCCTCCGCGTCCCGCCTGTCATGGTCCGCCACGACGGTGTCTGGCAGACGTGGGAAGCACTGCATGACGACAGCGCGGCACCTGTCGGAACGCTCTTCAAGATGAGTAATGACTCTCGCGCGGGTGTGAAAACATTGCATACACACAGGGCAATGCACCACATCAATGAGCTCACGTGTGCGGCGCCGGACACCATGCACATTGAAGGCATGGGTCGCCAGCTGCTGCTGGGACGCGCACGTGTAGGAGCACTCCTGACAGGCGAATACATGATTGACCTCAGCCATGCGGCGGGTCTTCGCCCATACCTGCGGGCGATTCACCTCGCGCTCTATCTTCGCAGCTCTCAAGCGGGCTCTGAATCGTTTGGGTTGTGTGCGGATTTCAGCAATCCACCGGTCGATTGGCTGAGGTGCGGCTTGGGCAAACGAATCCGCCCGTGAGACCAGAAACGCCAAATCCTCCGACACTGCCTGCGTCCAGGATCTGCGCACACCAATGGTATGTGAAAGGATGGCGGACAAAGTGCGCGGCGCGCGCAAGCAAACACGCGTGAACAAGCACAAGCGCATGTAGAGAATCATGATTGCCGGAGCGATGAAACCCTCGCACTGCGCAATGGCCTCGTGCGACGGCGCCCGGCGCATATCATCATCTTCCCGAAGAACAGACGAATAGACTTGCATCACGGCTGTGTGCATTCTTAACAGCTCAGCAGCATGCAACTGTGGCCACGTGCTAGATTGGTGCAGTCCTCGCGTGAAAACAACGCCCTGGCACAATGCAAGCCGGGTCTCAACAGGAACGCTCCTGCGCTGAAGCACGCTGCGACGCAGTTGTCTGAAAACCTCCTGCATGGCACCAACTTTCGCAGTGATTTCAGGACGCGTCGAGTCAGTCGAACACGTAACAGTGCCGACGTGCTTGTATTGCGACGTTGCAACAAGCTGTTCCTGAACACCCTTGGACTCGATACATATCAAGCCGTTGTCATCAACAAACAAACGCTTTTTGGCGTCTGCTGACCCAGCACCAACACACCGAAACAGGGCTTCAGTTTTCCCCCGTTTAAAGTTGATGACAAGAGCGTGGCGGGAGAAAACGTCCTCACATATGCCAGCGCACACTCTCATCTTTCCAACAATGTCAGCAGCTGGGGCCATGAGGGGCTGCGCGACGTCACCCATGTACCCCGCAGGCCCCATGCGCACCGAATCGCCCTGGGACCTGGTTGCAGGCTCCTCCCCGAAACCGGGGACCACCGTTTCACTTGGGACTTCATGCGACGTCCCTTCTGCAGCGAGACGGCTTTCGACGGCGCGCATCACGCGACTGAAAGCAAGCAAGAAGACGAAGTCTCCCAACGAGTTGCCGGCAAGGGAGCCCGAAGCCGTCTCCGCGCAACCCGCCACCCCTTCAACGGCGAACCACGATTGCCTGTGAAGTTTGCTCAACATTGCAAGGTCGTGTTTCGTGCCTCCGCTGTCTGTCCAATGTTCATGGGCAAGCAAGCCTTCAGCAATGGCGCCCGCGTCCTCAGCACTGTATCCAGACTTCAAAAGACGAGCAACGAATGCGCCCATGGATGCCGGGGGGGCCGGGAAGGCAAGTAAGCGAGCAATGCTAGCAAACGCAGTTCGCAGATCCACGAACAATGCTCCAAAGGAAAGCTTCTCTGCTCGGGCATAGTCCATGCACGCAACCATGTAGAGATGTGCAAACTCCGTGGAGCCACCGTTCAGCCCTCCTCCAAACTGCAACTCCGAGCTGGCCTTTGCAAGAGCAGGCGCTCCGCGGGCCCTCGCATGCGAAGAAAACGACTTTGACGCCGCTTCGCATATCGTGACGTCCCTATAAGAAGGGATATCCGTCATTGCGCCCTTGCCCTTAAAGTTCGAAGAGGTGCCCGCCTTTCCACTGCCGGGGCGGTTGCACGGCGAGAGCCGATTTGAAAACAAGCGGGTGGAACAGCCTTGCGCACTCTAGCGGCGCCGCTTTGAACAACTCAGAGCCATTGCAATCTTCAGAAATGCCGATAAGAGGGCGCATGTGTGCAAAAGTGGAGGCAACTTCAACCAAACTCGGCGCTAGTGTGAAATCGACAGCGTCAATTTGCGCAATAGAGCCGAAATCAAGGTTGTCGGCTCTGTCTCTGTCCGCGAGGTCGGACGTTGTCTTGCGCTCGCCAACGAGCAGGTCCGCAAAATGCTTGGACATCTCGCGCTTGGTATCGTACACAGACAGCGTGAGCTCACCATCAGACCCTCTTACGCTGGCAGCGGACTGTTGGAGAGGTTTGCACAACGGCTTCAACGCGTTAAACATGCGATGCGTCGACGCATCCGTAGCCGCACTCTCGAGCTCAGATCGCTTCCGTTCAGCGGACTCCGCGGCGTCCCTATCCAGAGCTATCTGGATGCGGCCGCTCAGGTCATCAATGGCCTCTCCACGCAAATACCTGTCCAGACAGGCATCCCAGAAGCGACGCGCCAAGTCTGCAGGCGCGCCCGGTCGTCCACCTGACGCGGGGGGGGGCCGAGGGGGCGCGAGGGGCGCGGCGGCGCGGCGAGAGGCAGAAGCGAGGGAGAGGGGAGCGAGGAAGGGCAGGATGGGGGGGGCAGGAGGCGGGGAAGCGGGAAGGGCGGAGGAAAGGGCAAGGGAGCAGGAGGAGGCGAGAGGGGAACAGAGCGCCGACCACGATTTGAGCACGCAGAGACACAGAGACGAATCGATCATGGTCCGGAAGCACGGAATCTCTTGCGGAGCATCCCTCTGCGCGTGACAAGGTCCAGCGTGCTTTTGCTCAACGCGCCGTTTTTCTGGAAAACCTTGGGTTTTGGAAACGCCGCCGCGGCAGCCGCTTGGACGTGCTGCTGTCGCACGAAACAATGCGACGTTGGGTCCACGTGAAACGGCACAGGCGGAAGTTGCGACAATAGCCATTTGAAGTGGTCAACCTTGCTCGGATCCTCGGGGCCGCGCCGGTCGTGCATCGCAGCGCGCCGCCGCTTCATGGAACGGGAAAAGTTCGGTGGCAATGTCACCTGGGCGCGCACAAGCAAGTGATCATCATGCTTATTGGCCGTGTCATACGTATCATCCACAGCGTATGAGCTTTCTGCACATGCAACACCATGCGACAGCACGATATAATCATTCATTGTACAACAGCCATGTCCAATGTACGTGGCCTGTGACCTGCCCCCTGCCCACATCTCTGGCATGGCAGCGGGTAGCCACAACCCCAGTTTCGACGCCCATGTGTCGAAAACGCTGTGGTTGGAGGCGTTGGTGGGCAGCGGTGCGCCTCCCGTGCCCATGCACGTGGGCGCCTGTAGGGACCACGCACTTGGCATGGTAATGTTGGAATCAATCATTACCAGCGCAGGGGGGCTCCTCAGCCCAGGCGGCAACAACGACTCAGCATCTTCCCACCAAGTTGCGCAATCCCCGTTGGCCTGGTGTGGGGCGTGCAGCGACGCAACGACAAACCGGCACGCCGCAGTGGACACGGCCACAACCAGAGCTCTGGGGTCAGCGTGGTGCGTGACAACGTCATCTGCTCGGACATACACCTTCTGCTTACCAAAAACGAAAATCGGCCTCGTGGCCGAAATAACTATGCAACAACCCAAGGTACCGTACACGTTCGGCAACCCTGCAGACTGTATGACAATGGACTTGTGTCCGGAGGCATCGTCGATCACGACTCTTTTGCCAGACGTTTTACACCTGGCCTCTTGGAACCCAGCTACGTGAAACTTTCGCATCTCCAGCTGCGCCAAAGCAGCGCTAAATTTAGCACGCGCCCTAAGAGTCAATGCGTTGTGACAAAAGATGCGGAGCTCGCAGGGTAAAGCATTCAAGGGATTGCTGGGCGGCCTCGCTTCTGCGTCAATCTTCCGCGCAATCACGCTGGGCGGCAAAAACATATCAAGCGACATGTTGTTCAGCTCAAGCGACCCGGTCTGGTGCAAATCAGCTGGATATTCACCCTTCCGCCGGGCGCTCAACCCCTCAAGGAAGAGCCAATCCGCATCATCTTTGCTGGGGTCGAAAGGGCAAACGAAATACACAAACACCTCATGGCTGCAAATGTCCGGGTGCGCCGAACCAAAGCCGACAGCATCGCACAAACAATCAGCAAACTCATTCCATGGATGCGCCTGGTGCGAATGCATATGCGCATGCGGAACAACCGCAAACTCGCCGACCAGTACGGCGAGATTACGGACAACGCATGCTAGCCGACCTTGAGAAGAGGCCCTCGCGAAGCGGAGCGTCACGTCCGCAACTGCCATGTTGTCTGAAAAGACGAACACGGGCACGCACTTGAACACATCCCTGGCCCACAGGGCCCACAACATCGACCAGATCATGGCCGACATCTCTGCAGCAAATGGCATGGAACCCTCATCCCACACAGCGCCAAAATAAAGCTCATGAGTAGGGTCAACAATAACAAGCCCGCACGAAGCGCCGATGT